TTTCCCTTTGAATAAACTTTCTCCCTGGTCTCTTTCTCCACCTCCTCTTTAAGGCCAATAACTCTTAAACTTGCTCCCTTGAGGTAGTTTTCTAGATCCCATAGGTGTGCTCCATTGCTTTTTATTTTTTTCTCTTGTCTCCTCTGACTGTATTTTCAAATAGCTTGTCCTCAAGTTCATTAATTCTTTCTTCTGCTTGATCAATTCTGCTATTAAAGGACTCTGATGCATTTGTCAGTATGCCAATTGCATTCTTCAGCTTCAGAATTTCTGTTTGACTTCATAAAATTATTTCAACCTCTTTGCTAAATTTATCTGACGGAATTCTGAAATCCTTCTCTGTGTTATCTTGAATTCTTTGAGTGTCCTTAAACAGCGATTTTGAATTCTCTGTCTGAAGGGCACATATTCTGTTTCCCTAGGATTAATTTCTGGTGACTTATTTATTTCTTTTGGTGAAGTCATGCTTTCCTGGATGGTGTTGATGCTAGCAGATGTTCCTTGATGTCTGGGCATTGAAAAGTTAGGTATTTATTGTAGTCTTCACTGTCTTGGCTTATTTGTCGCTGTCCTTCTTGGAAAGGATTTCCAGGTATTCGAAAGGACTTGGGTGTTGTAATCCAAGGTGTTTCTTCTTTAGAGGGCACCTCTAACCCAGTAATGCTGTGGTTCTTGCAGATTCATAGAGGTACTGCCTTGATAGTCTTGGACAGGGTCTTGGAGGATTCTCTGGATTACCAGGCAGAGACTCTTGTTCTTTTCTTTTACTTTCTCCCAAACATACAGAGTCTCTTTGTCTCTGTTCTGAGCCACCTAAAGCTGGGGGTGAAGTGACACAAGCACCACTCTGGCCACCACCACAGGGACTGCACTGGATCAGACCTGACACCAGCACAGCACTGGTCTTACCCAAGGCCTGCTGTAACCACTCCCTGGCTACTGCTGCTGTTTGCTGAAGGCCGTGGAGCTCAACAATCAGCAGATGGCAAAGTCAGCCAGGCCTGTGTCCTTCCTTTCAGGGCGGTGAGGTCCTCAGGATAGGTCCAGAAGTGCCATCTGGAAGTTGGGGACTAGAGTAAAAAACCTAGAAGTCTACCTTTTAGTCTATTGTCTTGTGACTGAGCAGGCACCCAACCCACAAGATGTAGTTCTTCTCACGCTTCCCTCCCCTTTTCTTTCTTTTTCTTTTTGAGATGGAGTCTCACTCTGTCACCTAGGCTGGAGTTCGATGGCATGATCTCAGCTGACTGTAACCTCCACCTCCTGGGTGCAAGCAATTCTCCGGTTTCAGTCTCCTGAGTAGCTGGGACTACAGGCACATGCCACCACATCTGGCTAATTTTTTTTATTTTTAGTAGAGGTGGGGTTTCATCATATTGATTATCCCTCCCCTTTTCAAAGGCAGAGGAGCCTGACCCTGTAACTGCTGCCCACCCCTCTCCCCCAACAGCCTTGAGGAGTGCTACCAGACTACCATGGATGTTCTCTTAAGGCCCTAGGTCTCTTAAGTCAGCTTGTGGTGAATGCTGCCTGTCCTGGGACTCACCCTTCAGGGCAATGGGCTTATCTCTGGCCCAGGGCAGGTCCAGAAATGCCACCCATGTGTCAAGTCCTGGAATTGAGGAACCCCAAGATTTTACTTGGTGCTCTATTCCCTTGTGGTGGTGTTGGTACCTAAGGTGCAACAAGACATGGCCCCATTTACTTTGCCCTCTGCTTTTCTCAAGCAGGAGGAGTTTTGCCCCACACCACCACAGCTGGCAATGTGTTGAGTCTCACCTGAAGCCAGCAAGTCTCAGAGGCTCACCCCAGGCCCTCGGCATAGTACTCTGGTATCGCTGCTGTTTACTCAGGGCCCAAGGGCTTTTCAGTTAGCATGTGATGAATGCTTCCAGGACTGGGTCCTTTCATTCAAGCAGCAGGTTCCTTTCTAGCCCAGGATGTGTCTAGAAATGTTGACTGGGTCTTGGGTCTGGAACGGGGGCCTCGTGACTCTGACCAGTGCCCTATCCTGCTGTAGTTGAGCTGGTATCCAAGATGCAAGGCAAAGTCCTCCTCACTCTTCTGTCTTCTCTCCTCAAGCAGAAAGAAAAAGTCTCTTTTGAAGCTACAGCTTGTGCAGCCCAGAGGCGTGAAGCCAGTGCTCCCTTGGCTGCTTCAGCTGGCATCTCAGCATGTCACATGCCCCCTCAGTCCGCTAGGTCTCCGGGCCTTGTTCAGCCCTAGGACTTGCCTAAGAGTCGCAGTCCTTATGGCCTAGACTGCCTTTCCATTTGGCCCTTGGTGGTGAGGTTTGTGGCCACTCGTGTTCAGAGTGCTGGGATTGACAGTTCCCCTTTGGCTAGGGCGGGTTTAAGTGCTGCCTCAGTGAGTGGACATCAGCTGAGTTTAGTCTGGTTTTTCTTTCTCCTCTAACAGGACAGTGCTGAGTTAGTTCATTGCCCACAGTTGATGTGTCCTCCTTCTCCCAGCACCCAGAGACATTCTCCGCAACACACCACTGCTGCGGGTAGGGGAGGGGCAGCATTGAGATTCAGGACTGGTTTTTAATCTGTCCAGTGCCTCTTTTAGTGATATGAAGTTAAAACCAGGTACTATGTGTGCTCACCTGAGTTTTGATTCTTATGAAGGTGTTTTTTTCTATGTAGTTGTTAACTTGGTGTCCTTGCCAGGGGGATCATTGGTGGAGCTTTGTATTCCAACATCTTACTCTGCCTCTCACCTACTTTTTCTTCCTCTCACGTCTTCATTTCTTCCCTCTCTAGATACTCCCCCTCTGGCAAATGCATGCTTAACTAATGATTCTCTTGCTTTAAAAATCCCAGAGGCTGATCTTGAAACAGACCAGGCAGGGAGCCCCCATTGCAGAATCCTCCTGCTTAGAAGGAATCACGAACAATCAGTGCATCATCTGGCTGAAGTCAAGATGACACCAAACAGACCTCCTGACAGGTAATCTACCTGAGATAGCCATCAGAACAAGACACACAGACCCTACACCCCGTACCACTTCCACATAGCTCCCATACTAAGTTTCTCTTCAAAACTACTGTGATACATTTTAAAATTCAAGGTGGTACTTTAAAATGCTAGCTCACCATCTTTGATTTACTGGCTCTCTGATGAACTGGCTTGTCTTCCCACCACCTTTTCTCTCATGTCTGCCTTTCAAGCAGTAAGCAGCCAAACCAGGGTTTACTTACACTATCGGTGCCCCTAGTATGGGTTCTCAGCATAGCCCACATTTCTTTTTGGAACCTCATCACACTTAACATTCTTTATTAAATGTCTGTTTTCCTTTCCATAGTGTACTGCACAAAAGGTCAGGGATCATCGTGTCTACCTTTCACCTCTTTCTCAGGAGCTTTGCCTGAGTTATCTATGGCACTCAACCCATTTTGTTTGAAGAATGAACGCATCAGTTGACCGCAATTTCTCTGTTCTTTGACTTGACCCTAGTTTTGGGAAGCCCACTTGTGATGCAGTTTCTAGAAATTAGAGTATGTGGCTCTTTTCTGGCTCAACTCCTCTCGGTTTTTTACCTCAGTGGACTTTCCCTTGCCCAGCAGAACTCCTCCCCTGGAGGAAGAAGTCTGTAGCAGGTAGGGTGGGGAAAAGCGCTGTTAAGGAGACAGAACTTTTATATTGCAGGGGCTAGAAGGGGGAAATCTGTACCAAATTCCCAGTATCGTGTTGAAATGAAACAGCAAGGCCGTGTTAAGCTGTCCAGATTGCCTCTCTCACTACCACTCTTGGTGGGGGAGGGGAGAGGGCAGATGAAGATCATTGCAGTGGCAAAGGAAATGGAGGTAGGCATACATGCACTGGCTATTCATTGCCTTCTCTGGAAGTCCTTTGAATGTTTCTAATTCTTGCTATTTTTCCGTAAGATGAAGATACGTAAACACACAGAATTAGCAATTTCCACTAACACTATATGCTTACAAGGATTGAAGGGTCTTCTTAACTTTGATCATCTGTGTATTTTTTTTTTTCACTCAGAAATGTTTACTGGGGCCCTCATTGTTCAGGTTTGGGGCCATGGGCACAGAATGCAAAGATTAATATAGGAAAGAGTCTTTTTAAAAAAATTCATTTATTTTTTAAATGTTTTTTTGAGATAGAATCTCCCTCTGTCGCCCAGGCTGGAGTGCAACCCCAGGCTCCCCCTCCAAGGCTCAAGCCATTCACCTGTCTCAGGTGAGATTATAGGTGCACCCACCACGCCCAGCTAATTTTTGGATTTTTAGTAGAGATGGAGTTTTGCCATGTTGGCCAGGCTGGATTCCTGACCTCAAGTGACTCTCTCAACTCAGCCTCCCAAAGTGCTGCGATTACAGTCATAAGCCACTGTGCCTGGCTTGTCTTTTTTTTTTTTTTTTTTTCCCTTAAATTAGTTTTACTTCATGGAAGGAGTCTGCTTTCTTGAGGCATGTACCTGCTGGCTAGAAAGAAAAACCACTGATTTTAAGGTGTGGTACAATGTGGTAGATGCTTTGACAGGTAGATAGGTGCAATGCTTTATGAACTTAGAAGAGGGAGGCAGAACTTCTAGTTACTATTTGGAAGCTTGCACATTGTTATGCCTTACACGGTGGTCATATGGTCCTAAAGATTTTGATTGCATGTTTATAGATATTCCCTATGTTAACATGTTTTAGGATTTTCTACATCATCCCTTAGTTCCTGGGAAGCAATGGGACCTACAGGTTAGAAGTAGGGGGCCTGCAGGCAGGTAGACTTGGATTTCAAATCAGGGCCCCTGCCTGACCTTCCAGGTGAGTGACTTAGATAAATCACTTAGTTTTCCACAACTAGGAAAGAGTGTACAAGTGCTGGGATTAAATGACAAGATGGATGCCACACATTTAACGATGCCTGGTGTGTAGTAGATGCTTGTATCAATCATGTGATTGATTATAGGTTTTTTTTTTTGGTGGTGGTGGCAGTAACAAGCAACTTGTTTATATTAAGCTTCACACACAGACTTGGTTGCTGAATTTTTAAAATATGATTTATTGGTATAAAAACAATTTATCCATTATATAAATACAATATAAATATCTCTTTAAAAATATGTATAAGTTAGCCATTTATTTGAGGTAAACCTACACTTTCCAAGAAATGATCTGGCTCTGAAACAGAGGATATTCAAACTGCATAGCCACTTTCCGTTATTATTTCAAAACTAATACATAAAATGTTTCAAGTGGTACTGCATAAAAATATAAATATCACTTACATAAATTAACTTAGCTTCACATATTTAAATATTAATAAATTAAAAATAATTAAAATAGTGTCCTAATGCTCATACTTTTAGTTCTCCATAGAGAACAACATAGGTTCTGTGCCCAGTGGGCAGGTTTTTGACCAGAAGAAGGAATGCCCATGAACAACAGCGGTCTTGGGTGCCCATGCTACATTTGCCGCAGAGCCCGCAGACTGCACTGCAGGAACTCCTTAAAGCTGCGCAGGATGAGATGCGTCGTCACGCCCTGCAGCCACTGGTCCTGTGCCTGCAGCTTCGTCAGCAGGCTGGCATTTGTGGCTGGGTCAGGGGTGGCTATTGCACTTAGATTCTTTGCCTGAAGAGAAAAGAAAGCAAAGAGGATTGTTTAAATACTGAATAAATCCTTTGCAGTGGAGGGACGTTCTAGGCTATGGGATGGTGTTCAAATGTGAAATACGGGGTGAATGAGACTAATGCGGGGGGCATGCCCTGAGTAGGATCCTTCTACAGCAGCAAACTTTTTTGTTTGTTTGTTTTGAGACAGGATCTTGCTTTGTCACCCAGTCTGGAGTGCAGTGGTATACAGCAACCTCTGTCTCCTGGGTTCAAGTGATTCTCGTGCCTCAGCCTCCTGAGTAGCCAGGTATGTGCCACCATGCCTGGCTAATTTTTTTGTATTTTTAAGTACAGACAGGATTTCATCATGTTGGCCAGGCTGGTCTTGAACTCCTGGCCTCAAGTGATCCACCTGCCTAAGCCTCCCAAAGTGCTGGGATTATATCAGCACTGTGCCTGGCTTACAGCAACCAACTTCTAATTATCCCTTTGCTGTGTGCCTCCCATTAGACCACAAGCATCCTGAGGGAAGCACCACTATCTTTTTGGTTTTTTGTTTTTGTTTTTGTTTTTGTAGAGATGGGATCTCACTATGTTGTCCAGGCCGGTCTTGAACTCCTGGCCTTAGGAGTTCAAGGAGTTCTCACCTCAGGCTCCCAAAGTGTGGGGAATACAGAAATGAGCCACCAGGACTGACCAACATCACTATCTTATTTGTCTGTATTCTGTCATATGAAATAATGCCTGGCACATAGTTCATCTTTAACATATGAATGAAGAACCCATACTTGAAGGCATTTTAATGTGAATTCTTCAGTGCCTCTAAATCTAATGCTTTTCTCCAGTTTCCCTCTCACCATCCATTTAGGATCTGTTGAAAGACCACTGATCTGGTGATGTAAAGAGGACTGAAAAACACCTTTCCATACACTCACTCGTATGGGATAAGTAACTTTTGGAAGACCTTGAACCTCTAAGTGTGGTCTTGGAATTCGGCAGCATCACCAGGGATATAAGCCTGCTGGAAATATGACTCTCAACCCCACTCAAGGCCTGCCAAGTCAGACTTCACATCACAACAAGATGCCCAGGGAATTGCCATGCATGTTAACGTATGAGAAACCCTGGCTTAAGGCAAACAAGTAGAAATGGCAGAGGCGGGATCAGTACCAAGAGTTTCATTATAGGCCCCTTCTTATTGAGCTTTGGCTCCTCCACACGCTGGCCAGCAACCCTTGACTCCCTGCCATTTGAATAGCCAGCTGCTAGTGGCCAAAGCCCTTAGTACCTTCTTCCAGCCTTGAGTCTCTGGCCATTTCTCTGAACTAACTCTTTGGTAAAAGGTAGGAAAAAGAGTGGAAGCAACCACAATAAGAATGCCACTTGGCAATAACTAAAATCTTAAACTCATTTTGTGCTCTTTGGTCTTTGTTTCTGTGGATCACTGGGTGGGGCTGGATGACTTCTTTCAGCCTTTTTTAAAAAAAAATCTCTAGGATTATGAAAAATTGATGTTAAAATCCACCTCAGTTAATATAGTTTAAAATACAGTTATTGATGTCCTTTGCAGAAGAGAGCCAACTAACCAAACTAACAAGGATTTAACAGTGACTGTCGGAAACTATTTCCCAGACTCTTTTTTACATGTAGGCTGCATTTTTGGAAGCAGCATTGCATCCCTGAGTTGACCAGGACACTGTCCTTCAGCCGTCTCCCCCACACCAAGTTGAAGGAATGAAAACACACTCACCTTTCTCTGCAGTGACTGGATCAGGCCTTTTGTACTCATCTGCACAGCTCCAGCTTGTTCCTTGCTACTCTCAAACCTGTTCTGGAGGTACTCTAGGTATACTTCAAACTCCAAAAGACCAGTGGTGATTTTCAGCAGGCAAGTCTCCTAAGAGGCAAGATGGTGGGAAAATTGGTTATTCCCAGGAGATCGAATCAATTTGAAAAGTTAAAATTGCCACAATTCAACATCTTTTCCCTCTGCCCCTCAAAGAGCTTCAAGTACCTCTTAGGCAGCACGTTTTGGGACACTGGACAGCATCATTTTAAATAACTGGACAATCAGAGGCCCCATGTAATTAGTTTTACCCAAAGCCCAACAGATGCTAGAACGTGGCAATGGGGATCCTTCTCTTATCCTCCCCCTCGGTGTTCTTCTTGCTCTCTTGCCCTTGTCACTGCTGGGCTGGGACCTCCTTTTATAAAATAATCAAAAGTCAGTGCAGGTTATCTCACTGTGGAGAATGAGCTGGGCAGGGAAGAAGGGCAGACCTGGACCCTGCCAGGGGCAGCCAGAGAGGGAAAAGGCCCTGAGACCGCCTTACTCAGGATGAACTAGTTAAACCTGTGTGAGTTCCTAACATTTGACAGTTGTTAAAATCTCAGCACAGGGGGACTATCTCTGGCCATACCTGTCCAAGAATAAACTACCTTAAAAAAAGCTTGAAGTTGGCCTCCTCATGAACTTCACAAAACATCCTCTACATCTACCCCCTTTTTGTTGCCACCTGGATCTATATGTATACAGGCACTGCAAGCAAGAGGGATAAGTTCTGGCTAAGGAATAGTGAAAGTGAGTGCGACAAGTTCGTACCTCATTGAATCCAGATTGGAAGCATCCATCTTTTTCTGCCATCTTTGGAAGGTTCAGGTTGTTTTCTGCCAGTGCCTCTTTGCTGCTTTCACACATGTTACTCTTGTTACATATCTGGGAAAGAATACCAGAACGGTTATCACGTTAAGTGCCCCTAAAACAAACACCACTAGGGGGCCTTCTCATTGTTCAACCACAGCCAGGAAAGTCTCTAAAAACAATGAAGCCGAAACTCATTGGCATCCTGACAAGCAAATTCCAGTGGAGTGGGCACACTTGGGTTCAGTTCCAAGCTCACCTGTGACTTCAGGTGTGTTACTTAATCCTGAGTCTCAGTTTGTTTATCTCTAAAAATCTCCCTTGCAAGTTTCTTTTGAAGATTATACACAATATTTATTTAAAGTGCCTGGCACATAGTAGATACTTAATGACAACAATTTTGACAATAATTACATGAATATAATCTATGAGATCACCTATCCCTACAATTTTACTGATAAGAGAGCAGAGGTGGCAGGGAACTTGTGCAAGATCACAAGGCTGGTTTGGCAGAACCAGAATTCAAGTGTGGGCTTCTAGTCCCTCTCCTGTGTTCTTTTCATTCTACCAAACGGGACCAAAATCCCTTGCATTGAACGTGGGGAGTTGCTTTAATCTATTTATGATTTGCCACTTTGGTGGGCTCTGAGATATGATCTTAGCTGGAATGGCTTTGAGGAATCCTAACCATTGCGTTTACATAGCCAAGAAGTACTGCAACGGCCCTGAGAAGCTGAACATGCCTTTCAGGTGCCACGTTTCTAGTCCTTCCAAAGCCCGAGAAACAAAAAGGAGCTTCACAGACCTTATTTTTTGGTGAGGGAAAAGGAAGCCCTGAGAAGCAGTGCCCTCAGCTCATGCCAAGGGTGGGCATGGATTTCAGCCCCATTCTGCATTTTCCAGAAAGGAAAGGAACCTCCAGAGACCAGGAAAGGATAAATACAGGAGTCAGTCTAGTTGGCCCGGTTGGTCTCAAATCTAAAGTGTTCTAGAACCCAGCAAAGACCCTCTAATGCAGGCAGCCCCCGTCCACACGCAAGGCAAGGGGAACGCATGCGCACGGGGGCCCATCAGCCTCATGGTCAAGACTACCCACCTCCTTTCTCAAGGCTGAGATGCCGTCGAGGATGTACCAAATGTGTTTGTCAATTCGTTCTGTGGAGGTGAGTAGCTGTCGGTTTGGGGCGGCTACCTCTTTGGAATCTTCTCCCAGGGTTACTGGGGCAGGGAAGGCAGCAGGCATCACCAGGAGCAGCCCCAGGGAGAAGGCAACTGGTCTGAAGGCGCCTGTGCCGGAGGGAAGCGAGTGCACGGGTGAGCTGACAGCGCAGCTGGGAGCCTGCCTCCGCAGCTGGCCGCCCGCCAGCCCTCCCTGGGCCACACACCCCTTCCTCACACAGGGCTGCTGGCGGTTCCAGGGCTAGGGATTTCCTGCACTTACTTGTGGAGAGAGAGTTCATAGCTGGGTTCCTGGAGGGCAGATGGAGCTTCTCTTTCGTTCCTGGTGGGCTCGAGGGCAGAATGAGCCTCGGACATCTCCAGTCCCATATTTATTGGGGTTTGAGATTCTAATATTGAGACTCATGGGAAAATCCCACATTTGATAAATCTTCGTTGGAGGGTGGGGGTGGGGCCAGAGCGGGTGGGGCTGATTGGAAACCTTATTAAGATGATTGTGCAACGTGACGTCCTTCAGCATCGCAAGACACAACTGGGGGAAAAAGTGCAGCTTAGGTCGTCACTGAGACTAACGCTAAGAAGCAGAATCATTCCTCCTTTACTTTCTTTATTAGTGACTCAGCAACTTGGCATGTCCTACAAAGAGTAAAGCTGAAGTCATGCACGAAGTTTTACAGAGAAAAAAATGAGCTAAAGCTGACTGTTTTTTGGAAGAAAAAAAAAACTTCAGTGACCAGATGAACAGGCTAGAATTTACCATACCAGTTAATTTGTATTTGTAAAAACCGAAGATGTCCTGAACTGAGTTTCCTCTGACTCCGTCGCGGGCCCCCCAGCCTGGAGTTATGAAGAAGGTAATACTACCAGTCATCTGAGTTCTGTATCCTGGCTCTCCCTGTGAGCAGCTGTTGTAGAATTGCCTGGCCACCCTCAAATCTCAAGGTGTGCAGTTATCTCAAGGCGTCTCTAGGTGGAGTGTGTGACTCCTTTTTTTGCCACCGCGTGGCTTCTGACACTTTCCTCTTCACCTGCTTCAGCCCACTAAGGGGAGGTTGGCTGCTGCCCTGCCCTCTCCCAAGTGACCCCTTGGGAATCCTACCAGTAAGGACTTTGCTCTCTGTGCCAGAGGCTTGCTTTGTGCTGCCAATGCTGTCCCCATTGCCACCTGCATCTCTTCACCCCTGCTCCGGGGGGCACCTGCATGGGCCCAGGCTCTGCTGGAGCCCTGAAGTTACCAAAGCCCATTTGGTTCAGGGCAGAAAGGGGGAGAATACTACTTACCTCTTTGTTGGGGATGTCAAAGGAGGACCTTGTGGCATCTTCTGGAGCTTGTGTTTATAGCTCCCTCTCCCTGAAAGTCTTGAGTTGAAATCAAAGGAAGCTGGAAGGAAACTACTGACACAGGCACGGCTCTAGGCTCAGAATCTGCTTTCCAGTCCTCAGCTTTCTCACTGGGTCAAGCTTGTACAGAAGCCGTCTTCCTTCAGGACGTTGTCTCTTGAAGGAGGATCCTTGGTCTCATGCAAATGGGCTCTAGCTACTGTCCTTCCAGTCTCCCGAGACCCAGGCAGTTCTGAGATGGCTTCAGGCTGAAACCAGAACCCTTGCGACAACGCAAAAACACTTATTTACCAAACATGGTGTTAAGATCACAATCGGTTTTTTTGCTTTGCTAAGAAGAGATCTCTTCGAGATAGATAAAACAGTGACCTCTATTGGGCATTTACTCAAGTTTTGTTTTGTGCATAACATTTCAGGACCTGCCTGTTGGGGAAAGTGAGGTCATCCATTCTTCACCGTTTGTCTAAACAGAGAGACAGTGGTCCTCTGCTGTGGTGGGATTTTTTGGTGTGAAAATGAAAATGGGGGAGGATGGCTGGGTGGTTTCACTTTTAGTGTTCTCCAGTCTTAAGCCACGTAGACACTCCTGAACCAAGTTCTCTTTACTGCACGAAAGGAAGCCACCACTCCCAGCTCTTCGGGCCATGCACTGTGATTCGTCTGTATAATGTGGGATTGCTTTTCCTCAAGTATCTATTTTTTAGATAATACAATTCAATAAATTTCAGGTACTCGAACTGAGTGACACAAGACAACACACAGATTTATCTTTTCAATAAAAAGTGTTTTTTAAATAGGAAGTTTGTATCCATGATAAAATGTTCAAATAGAACATCAGGGCATGCAGGGAAAAGGGTCTTCTTCCTTTCCTGGCTCCTTTTCCTAGAGGATAGCACATAGTCTCCTATGTTTTCAACCAAGTCCTCTGTTATTCTAGTCTGGGAAAGATTTTCTTGTCTACCCAGCTGTTTGATCCTGGCTGTTACATCAAGAATCTGTGCCCTTGTTTGTTCACCTACAAAACCGGGCTAGTAATAGTTCTTCCCTTCTAGGGCTGCTGTGAAGATTGAATGTGATGGAGTGTAAAAAATTCCGGGTGCATCGTAATCACACAATAAATGCTAGCTCTTCATAACTTTCCTTTGCTCCGAGTCTCTGCCTTGGAGAACTCTTCCAGCTCAGCTCTGTCAGTTCACCTGGTGTTTTGGTTGTGAACAAATTATGAACAAGCCAGCCTCTGTGCCAGCAATGAGCTGGTTTCCCAGTCATTTTCCCTCAGAAGAAATGAGATTCTGTGTTTTGCTGAAAATGCTTTATGGCACGAAGTGCAAAATGAAAAAAAAAAAGATTTTCTCTCTTTTTTGATAACGTTAAGATCCCCAAACCAAGTCTCTTGTTGTAGATAATTAGTCCAGTTTGCGTCTTGCTCCTACTTTTTCCAAGCCTTCTGCTAAGTGATTTTATGTCAGACTTCCACAGCTTTCCCTGTGCATGGTGATTGCCTTTAATTCAAACTCCTGGAGAGTGATCCCTGAAGGTGAAAGGGCCTGAAGCTTCTGGGTTCAAGGAAGGGCAAATTGTGGGAATGCATGTGTGTAGAGAGGTTGGGGACACTGTCTGCCCCCTGCACATTGCCAGCATGGCACTTTATTAGTATCAATACCTTGGGCTGGTATTTGCTTGTGGGCGAGATGAGCTTTCCCTTGCTCCAAAAACGTTAATGTAACTTGCGCAACTCTGCCATGATAGCTTCCTTCCTTTGCATCTCAGTGGATTTTTTCACTTGAAGAGCTCATTCCTTGTTTTTGTTTTTGTTTTTTGCCTTGAGATGGGAGTCTTGCTCTGTCACCCAGGCTGTAGTGCAATGGCGCGATCTTGGCTTACTACAACCGCCGCCTCCCAGGTTCAAGGGATTCTCTTCCCTCAGCCTTCCAAGTAGCTGGGGCTACAGGTGTGTGCCACTACGCTTGGCTAATTTTTGTATTTTTAGTAGAGACAGGGTTTTGCCATGTTGGCCAGGCGGGTCTTGAACTCCTGACCTCAGGTGGTCCAACCATCTTGGCCTCCCAAAGTGCTGAGATTACCTGCGTGAACCACTGTGCCTAACCCCTCGTATTTTTTAGAGGGCAGGTTTTAGGTCATAGCAAAATTGAGAAAAAGGTACAGAGATTTCCCCTATGTCCCCCCTCCCCTAAACGCTCCCTCATATTTTAATATGAATAAGTGACCAGTAAAGGCTGTGCTGTCAGCATTGATTAACTAATACTTTAGTTGCTGGATTACGTCATAGCTGATCTGAAGTGAGCACCCGCTGAGATCAAGAGAGGCCCAACAAATGGGAGCGTACAGGGAGGCAGCAGCTACTTGGCTTCTTATGTCACCTGTGTAGGGCTGGCTGGTCCCATCTGGGTCTCCCAGGATTACCACCCATGACTGCTTTCCGACATGGTGGTGGAGTCCTGGTTCATAATCTAGTAATACTTTTGAGACCAATGGGGAAAAGTAGCATCCATTTGGTACTTAAGTTCTCAGGAGCAGAGGTGTTCTCCATGTCTCAGGAGTTAAGGATGTAGTGTTGTGCTCTTTCTCTATATTCTAGGGGCTGGAGATGGATGAGTCTGTGATTTAACAGGAGGGAGTATAGCAAGAAAAAACAGGAAGTCCTGGATACTAGGGAACTTGCAGTTGCTGTCAGAATGTAGTTTCACTTGTCACCAAGTCATAAGAAGCTTGCAAACTGAAACAGTGGGTGATTTAACAGCTTCTGGGGTTGAATCCCACTGAGCAGACACCAGGCTTGAAGGCTCTGGGAAATGTCCTGCTTTGATGGTGGTATTACTTGAAGAGAGAATATTAGGGACATGTGGTATGTCTGTTTGGAAAGAGCCAGCCGATGTTGGAGGGCAGCCAGGCCTGGTGACCAAAGCTCTTGACAGTTTCCTGCCTGGTCCAGTCTCAGTCCTGGCTTTGCGGCCTCAGCTCTGATGTCCAACTGTAGCTCCTTGCTCTGGCCTCAGCTTTTCTGAGGGGGAGGATGTGCAGGGGCCTGCACGTAGCTCCTTCTGGGCTAGGGAAGGGGCACGTCTTCACTGCTGTGTTTCTCATTCAAAGCTCCATAGGGAGGCCATCTGTTCTGTGCCCTCATTGTTTTGCTATGGGCTGACTTAGCTTCCCCCTGCTGAAGTGGAAAATCCCAGGCATCTTGGGAGGGAAGTAGCCTCTCCTGGGGCAAAATGTGTAGACTCCCTTTGCGTTGGGACACCCCTGTGCCCCTTCCATGGGTCTCCAGGCCTGGAAGATAGTGCCCTAATTACAAACTTCTCTGAGGCTGGTTTGCTGATGAGAAAATTTGCTTTTCTGATCCTGAAAGAGCCCCACTTGGCCCTGCCCCCAAGGCTGGGGAGGTCCCTCAGGCTGAGTTTCAGTGCTTTGCCTCTTCTCCATCTGTGGGGTAGGCTTTCTATGGTGGTGGCTGCTGGTTCTGCTTTATAATTAGGAAACTTCAATTTGTCAGCTAGGAGTAATTTGTTCATTTATTATCACGAGTCATTTGAGCCATCTTTGGTTTCTCCAAAGATCTCAGTTCTCTGAGTTCAGTATCATAGGCAGAAACTAAGCATGCAAAGCATTGGCTGGTTTCCTTTACTCTTTTCCCTCAAAATTAGGGTACTAAGAAGCCAGTTTGAAATCATCACATGTAATGGCAAGACCAGGGGATTCTACTGGCCTGGGTATGACGTCTTTCACCTCCCTTCCCTGCCCTTTTGGTTAGTTATTTGCTAAAAAGAGAGTGCCTTCGTCCCTCTGAACTCACCCTCCTTAGGAAGCAGAATCCATGAAGAGGGTTATGCCTCTCTAGTCTTCACGGTGGAATAATTTTCCTGAAATGCTTTGGACATGTTGAGGACTCTGTAATTCTGAGACACTGGGGTCCATTATTTCTGAGGATGGGTACACCTGGATTGATTTAAAATGTTACAGAAGAATTCAGATCCAGGTAAGCAAGCAAGTCAAAGAATCATAGGGAATTTCTTCAAGCGATTGAATTCTGTGTTG